AACTCATCTCGTGGAGGTGGAGGTGGAGAATAGAGAGATAAACGTCGTGGCATCTTTGTCGGTCGCCTATCATGAGGTGATGGTGGAGAAGAGGCTCGATGATGTGACAGAATAGGTGATGGCTCTCGTTGTGGAGGTGTATAGTCGGGTCGATCAGGTGATGGCTCTGGGTGAGGTGATGGCTCTCGAAGTGGAGGCTGCTCATCATCCGTGCCATAAAAAAAAAGCTTACTAGCTTGCCACCAATCAGTGGCAAGCTCAGCTTCCGTGGGTGTCAGTCTCTATAATGGAGTGTTGGCCTCCTAACAATATAAAAGCTCAAACAAAGTTAAACGTGTACTAGTAATAACTTGTTTATAAACATATGGTAGTATTTGTGTTAACTTACATTATTTATTGTAGTATACGGTAGTAAATCTTCCCATTGCTGTAAGGACCGTTTCATCTTCCAGGAAATAGCCCTAGGAATATCATTAGAAGTTTTTAATGCATGTGTCTGCATGACGGGAAAGACCTCAAATATCCAAATCTACAAACAATATAATAACAAACATTAGTAATTGTTAAATAATTAATTATAATTTTGGAAACATTATATAAAAATTCTTACCTTAAAGGCCCAAATAAAGCCTGACAAAGTGTATTTGGAACCATCGCCACGCAAACTTTTTCGATCATCAAAGGCAGACGACAACTTATTCCATGTAGCTTTCCATAGATACGAACCCCACGGAAACAGGTTTCATGCATTTAGGTCCTCTACCAATTTAATTAGATTATTAGGAATAGGTTGTCTGGCCTCTCTACCTAAAAAGTCGGCATGTAAAAGTATTAGAAGGCATACTCGGACAACATCGACATCATCCATCCGAGTAAAATCATCTTTCTTATTCAATAATCTCGTCAAGTCTTCCACGTGTAAATTCAGATTCTCCATTGACAGCTCAGGAAAAACCTGAGATAACCATGATAGGCGGGTAATATGTCTAGTGTACCGACCTACATCATCGTGTCCGAAGAGCAGACCGGTGATTAAGCAAAACTCCTCCCGCCCAAAACACGTATACGCCAGTGGAAAATCAAACCATATCTCTTTATCACGGCGTTGTATAGTCTCTGGTAGATCGCTAGTCATGGTTTGAAGAAACAGATGGGTCAACATAGCATCTACACCCGGATGTTGTACTTTCAGCCATGGCCCGAAGCAAGTATCCTCAAATATTTTTCTTTGTGCAGGTGAAAGCTTCGACGCAATTGTTTTGGCCAGGCTTACTTTATTTCTTAAGGTCAATTGAGCTGAATAAAAGTTCTACAAAAACAATAAACATACCAAGTTAGATATACCAAAAACTACACTGTGAAGATATACTAAGAACAATAAACATAAAGAGTAGTAGTTTATTCTTCAAACTTAAATTTGCAACACTGTGAATTTAGTATTTGTCTTTGTTTTTTTGTTGAAGTAATGCAATTCATTCAAGTTTCAATTTGCAGAAGAAGAATAGTTTCTGAAACTTAAAATCGCAACACGAAAATGAAAATCGCAATACGAAAATGACTATCGAATGGATTGCATTACTTCAACCAAAAGACAAAACAAAGACAAATACTAAATTCACAGGGTTTAAAGACTAAACAGTTTAGCAGTATTGACAGCAATCGAATGAATTTAATAAGCAATCTAAATGAAATGGTTAATCTAGTATTGAAATTACCAGTAAAAATATCATTAATTTCAATATGAAAAACCTAATAATAATGCAAAAAATTCAAAATAAAAATAATTAAAAAAACTAACCATCGGTGGTTGATTTGGTTGATTTTCCATTTCTGACCGTGAATGATTGTAAGGGTGGCTCTGAGAGATGGAGATAGATGGATTTCGCCGGAGATGGGGACTGATTTTGTCGGAGATGGGGACGGATGTCGCCTTAGAGAGTGAGAGATGGAGATGAGTCTGAGTTGTTATTTAGGGTTTTAGATTATGAGTTGTGATTACGGGATATGCTGTGGACGGTTCAGTGTTCCGATATATTAATATTCGTATTTGGAATTTGAAAAAAATACGCGTTGCGATAATAATGGCGCTTTGAAAATCGCATTGCGATAGTCAGAATCGCGTTGCGATAGTCAGAATCTCGTTGTGATAGTCAGAATCGCGTTGCGATAGTCAGAATCTCGTTGCGATAGTCAGAATCGCACTGCGATAGTCATAATCGCATTGCGATTTACATATTCGCATTGCGATAGTCGGAAAATCGCAACGCGAATTTGCAAAATCGCAATGCGATAGTCAGAATCGCGTTGCGAATCTGGAAACGGATTTGCGATACCAGAGATCGCGTTGCGAATTATCGATCGCATTACGATTTAGTTGGTCATTTTGGCAAATCCAAAAAAAGTTGTATAAAATCGTATATTATAAGGCATTTTTGGTCACTGAAGGTATTTTCTCTTTATAAAATGGACACGAACTCTTAAAAAAACACTAATTACCTTTAAATATCAAAATATTTTAATATCTCAATTGAATTTTTTTGAATTGACTCATAAAATCAATTTAATTAATTATTTTATATATAATATAGATATAAATATAAACAAAATTTTATCGTCTAATATAGACTTATTCAATATGAATTAAACAATAATATTTATTTATTTTTAGTAAAAGAAAAATAGAAAATACACATTTCGAAGGACTTTTAGTAATTTAATTATGTTGTGGAAATGCTTTTTTAGGCATTACTATATTTTTACAATTTCTCGGGAGGATGTAATTTATAGAGTTGAAATATTAAATTTAAAACCAGACATAGGTATAGAATTGGATGGGTGTAAAGCTCGTGAGATAATTCAATGGGCCTATTTTAAGTGGTCTTGAAGTAAACTAATCCATATAAGGTTAAGATTGGTCCACGACAATCCCATTTTTCAAATCGAAACCAGTTTACGCGGCCTGAAAAGTTCATTCCCAATATTTAACGTATATTTTCGGATTTTTTGATAAATTATTTTATTGATAAAAAATACCATAAGCACTATTAGCATGAAAGATCTCCCATATTAAATGTAGCAAAAATTACTATTTTGAGTTTTCTTCTTCTTCTTCTTCATGAAAACGCGCACACACTATTAGCATGAAAAAACACTATTAAAATGAAAGGAGGTTCCTTGAATTTTATAGTCTCTTTTAATTCTTTAGTGTTTCTCGGTTTTCTCTACTCTGCAGATTTGATGTATAACTTTCGAAATGTTTCGGTTTCAATTTATGCTGAAATTTTTTGAAATTTGTTGAATGAGTTGGGAAATAGCACGGGATTGTTGTGGGCTATCTCAGATGGCACTCCCTGCGTATTTCCCAACTTACCCGACAAAAGATCACATCTTACATTATTTAGAATTCTACAAGAATTATTAAATTTAATTTTACTTTAAATATTACATTAAATACGATTTGGATACTCGTATATTTTATAATTAATTTAGGTTTGGATTGATTTTATTTATTTATTTATTTTTCTATCATCGATAGTATTATAATATAAATAGATGTTGTCATTAATTAACCGAACAAGGCATTTAATCCAATGGCAAAGGCGTTCATTATTCTCCCTCGTTTAATCCAATCTTATACAAATGCAATCCAACTCCAAATTATTTTCTATCAAATTAGATGATGACATGTGTCGTCGTTTAATTAGATATAAAATCTATTTAATTATATAAATAAAATTTTTTAAAAGAACCCTCCAAATAAGTGGTGACGCATGCCGCTCAAATTAAAATTAAGACTAATTTGATAGAATATATTAAGTATTAAAGACCAAATATGTAATCACACTAATTTTTTAAACTACCACGTCAACACTTGTCGTTAAATATTAACACAAGTGACTTGATTAGCAACATTTAAATAGTTAAGTAATCTGATTGACAAAATTAAGAGATTGATGGTCAAAATGAAAGAGACAATAGTTTAATGATCGTATGTATAATTAAAACTTTTATGTGTTATTTAAGCATGGCTAGTATACATAAATTAAAGATTAAACGAGTTTAATATAGAAAGAATAATTCCATATGTGAAAATGAAGATGAAAATTCATGACAGTCGAGGGATGCACTAGGGGTATCAAATTCCAAACTAGGTGAAAACGCTGCCAGGAGTATGGAAAGATTGATACACCTGGTGCAATTTTCTAGGTTCCTGGATTTTTTTTCTTTCTTCTTGTATGAAATTATATTTCTATATCTAACTCGTTTAATTTTAATTGTTGCGTAACAGTTATGTTTAAATAATACAGAAGAAAAGAGCATCAAGTTTACAAATGATTGAGCTTCACAACATGGAAGGATCACATTGTTCGTGTAAATGAATCACAAATGTAATGCCCGTGAGATAACAACTATTGAAAAATGTTTTAAAATAATAATCTAGAAATGTTGGTATATGTGTTCATACAGGGAATAAAAATTTCTTGACCTCAACAATATACAAAATGTGCCTCCCAAATAAATAATAATAAGCACCTAGTGCTGAATGAGTCTTCAAAATTTTGAGGCTCAAGCTCTTCATCCAGCATACATGTGTGCAAAATCAGTTCACACTTTTTACTGTTACATCTAATAAGTCCACGCTTTCACTTTTGAGAATTTAGTGTAAAATCAATTTACACTTTCTACAGAAAACATGCAACGGCACAAGTTCTATTCAACTACGAGAAACAAGCATTTTCTGGTGGAAATCCCGACTTGAACAGGAAATTAATTTCTAATTCCCACACTAAATTCTCATATGTAGATATCACAAGTAATTGACCGTATAAGGTTCACATCTGAGAATTTATAGCCAAATGTATGAACCTTACAAAAGTAATTGACCGTACAAGGTTCGCATCTGAGAATTTATAGCTAAATGTGTGAAGGTTACAAAATCAATTCCACCTTAAACTGCTCGTTTCTCGTCATTGAATAAAACTTGTGCGGTTGCATGTTTCTGTGACTTTTATGTGTTACTCCTACGGGATTTCCGTTAAGTGAATGCTCCAAGTTCCCACCATGCTATGAAAATTTAACATTTTCCACACCATTTCCACAAGAATTAGTAACATTCTGTACAAGTTGGTCATGAATAGGCAGCACATTTGATGACAATGTTGTCTTTGAATTAGCGGAAGCCCACTTGGACCACTCATCATGTCTCCGTATCTTATCACCCTACAACAATAATTATCAAGTAAACACAAGGCTATCAAAGCAAAAAATAATGCCAGAAAAACAATATCACTTCCCAACGTACCCATAACAATTATTCCATAAAATAGCTCGATCCTGTAATCAAAATTAGATCTCTAGTCTGATCCCAGCTTGCATACATTCCATCCAAAATCAAATTTTAAATAACGACACCCAAGAAAGAGAGAAAAGACTAGCCTGTACTTCTATAGTAGATGAACCCAACAGCGCATCAAGGATGAATTGTATATCGGTACTCATCCTCTTAATCTGCGACTCAAATTATTAAACCACATAAATACTTTAAACTAATAATTCTCAAGATATAGATAAAAAAAATCTAATTCAATCAGTTAATGATGCAACAACAATGAATAAAGAAAAACTTTGTGCTATACTACCATTGGCGTTAAATAGCCATGTCTTCCACATACCCTTTTAAAATCTGCAATTTTGGATATTGGAACCCATCCTAAATCATCCATCAACGAAATCAAATAACGATCATTTTGAAGGTTTTCATCACTGCAAAATAAAGGTTTGAGGTCAACAAATAATACAAACATAAAGCAAATAAATTTATGACATTCAATTAGTATAAACAATCAAAAATTCATATTTCAACTCCCCAAAGGATTTGCCAGTTACAATACGTATGAAACTCATGCCAAAAAGCCAAATATGTGATTTTCTATCAAAACTCATGATAGCATACAATCAATACATTTTGCATATTGACAAAATTCTAAAATGAATAGTATACCAGCAATTTCTGATAAGATATCTAAATCTTAAATCGCCCCATAAATAACACGTGTAGACGCAAACAAACTCAAACATGAAAAGATTTACATAAGGGATGGATCAATCATTTTCACCAACCAAGAGATAAATAAAAATACCGAAAAATGCAATCAATAACGATAAATGGACTGAGAATGTATACTATAGAATTTAGTAGTAATTCTGAACAGTGGCATCCAGCAGTAAAGCTGTAAAAAGTAAAACACATAGGAAACCATATAGAAAAAATTATTAAATAATAAGAATGGAAGGAATCTCTTACCTAAAATAATACTCTATTTGTTTCACTATATTGGCCCTCAAAATTACAGTCTCTGGAGGGAACATGACAGTCCCTGGATTCAAAGGGTATGTAACAAAGCGTGGAGGATGAGATCCCCTTACAGAGCCTGGCGGAGCAACAGGCACATAGTATACAACCCCTATAAGGAATACATAAGTCATTGCAAACAAAGTACATTTATCAAAGGCGTAGTACGAACCAAGAGCTCAAACAAAAAGGCAGTATAAGCTGGGTGACTGAAACGCAGGCAAACCTTGCCAGTAGACACAAATACCAAGGAAACTTAACAAAATAAGACGTAATAAAACATACTGAAGTATTTTGAATGAAGGCACAATTTTTGCAGGGATCGATATAATACCTGGGAAATTTGGACCAACTATGAAACCTGGAGCAGGGCCAAAGACTGGTGGTCTAACAAAAGGTCTAGGTCCAGTACCCTGCTGCATGGTATTAGGTTCTCTAGGATTAAATGCTCGTTGATGATTCCATCCAGGATTAAAATGCTCACCAGTTTCTAGCATGTTGGACTTTCTATTAGAGAAGTTCGTAGGATATGCATTGAAATCACCTCGTGGAGGCCGCATATTTCTGCTGGCATTAATACCTTGTTCAGGGGGGCCAAAGGCATTCTTTGTTGTCTCAGAATCAGATTTTACCAACTGACGTTCTACACGAGGAAAAGGTCCCGGGGCAGGGTGGTAAGCATACCCAGGGACAGTAACATGTGGTGGAGGGGCCATGGCATGAAAAACAGGTGGCGTTGGTGGTTGATAATAAGGTGATGGTACAGGAAATCGAGGTCCAGCATTAGGATTGCGCTTAGAGCCCAAATTCTGATTCCGTGCTGATGGATATCTATGAGAAGTATTGGTGTTTCTAGACCCATTTGGTTTTTTCTGTCCAGCAACTCCCTGCAAGACCCAAAAATTTACGTAAATACTTCAATTGAAATATACTGAGTACTAAGATAACAGTTTTATTTATTTTTGATCTTCCTTCTTACATGATTGAATAAAACCATAAAACACAGAAAAGTAAACTACCAACAATCAAATAGATCCCCACTCAACAGGAACTAGATTCAGAGATGGCTAAATTATGTCGGAATTTTCTCAAAGAAATTACATTCCACAAAGGTACATAAAAATTTTCCATCTGAGATAGTCCAGTTCCTCCTGTTATTTCAAAATAGGGCCTACAATAATCGTTCTAACATTCTAGGAAGATAAAACAGACTCAATACAGCTCATTATCTCCGGAAGATTTTTACTTGTACAGAATGATCAATGAATAGAAACCAGAAAAGCAATACATCATTGTCTCTCAACATACACAAGTCGTCCCTTTGAAATTAATTTTTCTCAGATTACACCTAAATATTTTAAACTTTAACCAAACTTCACACTCAAATGTGATTGACCACCTACTAAAGAAAAATAACCAAACCAGAATAAAAATGGGCAATGGCTAACCTGCTCAATTGATGGAACTCGAGCAAATTCATCAGCAACGACGGAAGGTTTGTGGGGCATTTGTTGGGTCCCACCAAGATCAGGCCAAGATTCGGTCCCCATAACATGAGCATCGGCCACTTGAGCGTCAATCACCGGAGTCTTCCACGGTGACTTGACCTCCTTACGATCACCCGCTGCTTCATTCTCAACTATTTCCATGATCTCTAACCAGCCGCCAAACGAACACAATGACTCCGAAGAAGAATTCTATTAGTGATAATAAAATAGGACTAAATTATATATTTAGTGGGTTTTATGGCTGAATTGGATCTCTAATTGTCAAAAACCCTAAACAGTGTACATGTTTAAGATACTCAGACTCTTTATAATTCTTTATCTACATATTTAAATTATATTTTAATAGAATTTTATTTCAGTTAAGATTAATATTATTTTTATTAGATTCCAATTAAGACTAAGATGTATCTATAAAAAGGATTTCTTCTAAGGGATTTTTTTTATCAATTTAGGTTTTATATTTTTATTTATATTAGTTTATAGATTTAGTATTTTAAAAAATTGGTGATGTGACATATAAAATATACTAAAATTTATTTGTAAAATAGATACACGCAGTAAGTTTTTAAAGTACAGAAAAAATTAAATTATTCTAATTTACTAAGCTTTGTAAAGTCAGATAAAAATTTTATTTTAACGTAATTTATATTAATATATGAACACCATGATGATTTTTATTTTAAAAAAACTAACCAAAATTTATTTAAAAAATGAATTATTATTATAAAAATATACACATCTATGGAATGAATTAAAAAATAGTATAAAATATTGAATAACTAAAATCATGTTAAAAATAAAATATATAACTAAAATACATAGGTGAATCGAAATTTAAACAAAATAAATTATACAAAATTTATTAAAAGTAACAAAAAATGATATTAACCAAAAATCTATTATTTTAATCATTATAAATAACAATACAAAATATAACAAATAACATAGATATAATATATATATATATATATGAAAGTTCTTAGTTCATATTTACTTGACACAAATGTTATCATGTATGAATCTTATTCAAATATATTTCATTATTAGTATTATTATGTTTTATGATAATTAAATTTTACAATAATTATTTAAATATATATTATTATTTTTTAATAGTATGAGGTAATTATAAGATATTATTTATTTATAATCTTTCTTAAACATTGATAACACATATTTTATAAATATAACTGTTTGAACCTATGACCTTTAAAAAAACAATACTCTAAAATCATTTGATATGTTATAAATATAAATGTTTATATTCATGTATATTTTTTTAAACAATATACATATTTACGTATATTGTATGCATATATACTTTTAAAAAGTTACTATAACTTATCTCACAAAAATTTTAACAATATTTCTTTGTTGTTTTTGGTATTTAACTATTATTTTAATTAAAATTTAATCAATTAATTATTATTTTTTAAAAGATAAATAACATTATGATTATTTCATTTTGATTGAAAGATAATTCATTTTTCTATTTTATTTTAATTATTTATCGTTAAAAAAAGTTAACAGTGATGTTATATATCATCATAAATAATATCACATCATCATTAAAAAATAAAAAAAATATCACATCAATAATTCTAATATTTTTTAACGACATAAAATCAACATAAATGTTAATAATAATTAAAAAAAACTAATAATTACATAACCAAAACTATATCAAAATGATAGTATTTTTTTAAATAAGAGTGTAGATCATTTTAACCATAAAGTATCTAAAAAATACCATTTAGAATAATATCAACTATATCCATAACAATCGTAAGTAAAATATAACAATAACCGACTAATGACAACTTAATGAGCAAAAACGTGAAAAATTAAGTCAATGATATACTAAGACGGATCACTGTAACGTTCTCGAACACCAAAGAAAGAAATATTAAACCAAAGTGATAGTCAAATAACTAAATGCTTAATTTATCTTAAAAAATATTTTATTTATTTAAATTGTAAAATTAAAAGACTCAAAACTTAAAAACCAAATAACTTAGTTTATTCAATTCAATAAACTCAATTTAATTTTCTTTTGTTTCTCCAAATCAAGTTTAACTCTCAAAGAGAGTAACCTATCCATCGTCCACCGTACAACGCTGCTTTTTCACTAATGTAATTTTTTTTTTCTTTATCTCCATCTCCGCATTCCCCTAAGGGGAAATTGTTTCCAATGAAAAACACATATCTTGGTTATCCAAATGTTTTGTTGTATAGCTATAGCGTTTCCCCATCGTTGTAGATAAATATACATAGCATTGCATGCAGGGATATATCTACCCAGGATTCCTGTTTTTCATGCATCAGGAGCAATAATCTGAAGCTGCAATTTCAGTTGGGTAATCTAGAGATGAGGGCATTCGTGGACAACATATTATGCCTCCAGATGGAATACATTCTTCGGCTTCACTGGTTCGGCTGTCCCTTCAACTCAACTAACAGCAGATTCTTGCCCCATTAATCCAAGTCCCTCAAACAAGATGAGGGCGTTTGTGGACAACATGCATATTCACACACATACATGAACCGGTTATCATATGCAAAACATATCTAGAACCTTCCAAGTCAAGTTGATTCCATCTTCCCAGCACAAACAACTCAGTTAGGAAAACAACAAATGGTGTCATGAAGACAAAGAAATCATTTCAGCAGTCATCGACAGAAGAAGAACACCGACAACTCCATTTGTTCCCCTTCCTACGGCAAAAGGTTATCCACCAATGAGAGACACACGACAGGGGAAAAGGGGGCTGGGGCTGGAAGGTTAGTTGAAGCTGGCGGCACTTCTGTTAAGAATACATTAGGCATGTAAGCAGCAGGCGGAACTACATAACCATCATATTCGTACCTGCAGTTTGAAATCTCATTTCATCCAATATTTGTAGTTAATGACCCCATCATCTGTTATGCTAAAGAGCATATCACAAAAGTAACAGCACAGTAATCTATTCTATATGGAGTTAAAACGGGGAACCATACACGAGGAAAAAATTCCATGCAATTAATAAGGTAACGCAGGTTTATAAAACCCTTAGTCAGCAAGAAAATATAAACAATACCCAGAAAAAAAGGCTGCCTCGCTTTAAACTAAATTAATAAGAAATAGTCACCATAAAACATCAGTTGATTTAAGAAAAAAGGACGCAAATGTTAAGTGTTTGAGCAACACAGTTGAAAACCTTAAAAGGCACTCTGTCCACTGCTAGGAAACTCTACCTGTTCCCAAACAATTTTCAAGAAACAAATCTTCAAGCCAAAATAGTACATCTTTTTTAAAATAAGCGACGGGGAAACTACTAAAATAGAAACGAAAATACATGTTTGAGATCTCTGATCTTTATAGTAGGCATTTTTTGTTACAAATTTAAAGACCACGTTTGCATGAGTTCCTGAACTTCAGAATCACCAGTCGAAAACAAAATGATTGATGCATCTATGAGAGAATCTGCACAATGAATAAAATCATAAAAAAAACAACTTTCAAAAAATAAAGATTTAAGGAAAATATCCATGAGAAGATTGAAATGAATTTCCATACCTTTGGCAAAACCAAATGCGATTTTTGTTAACAAAATTTAACCAACTAAAATTTAAATTTGGCAATGAGAAAAAAAAAGAGATGAAAGAAAGTGTTTCATAAGTTGTGAGGTAACTAACATTACAAATAAAATTTAACAGAATATAAATAGTTATAAATTTTTGGTAATAAGCCATATGTACCATCAGAAAATATATAAGTTAAGATTCAATCATATACAACGTCCATATTAAGAGGATTAATCAATCACCACAAACCAGCAAGCTTGTAAAACTAGTATTCAACAATTAACTTCAAAGTAAAACATACTAAGTGTTGTTGTCCTTCAATCGTGGTGAAATTAATTACGAGCCAACAGCTAAATACTGTTGACACTTAAAACAAACCTTCATGTGCTTCAAAAACTTAAAGCAAACATGTACTACTCATTTCTACTAAATTCTTTTTCCGCTTCCCAATAAACAAACCTGACCCTACACAAAGTCATCCCCATTCTGTGAGATCATATTTAGTTATGCACCAAAACATGTAACTCAATTAGATTTTTTTTCTCATCTGTGAGGTCTATTATGCATAAAGTCAAGGCAAATGCAAAAAATAAAAAGTAAATAAACTACAAAAAACTATATCTGGTTACCTTAGGGCTTACATACTATCCCATGTAAGGAGCACCACCACCAGGCTGATTCCTACCAGCACCGCCCTGCCCCATCTGTGGGTTCTGATACCCACCCTGTACTCCCATCTGGTTCCCGTAGCCTCCTGTAACCTGACCACCATAACCTGCAGCAGGTGCTCCCTGATTAACAGGGGCACCACCAAGCCCTCCAAGCAAATTACCAAGCCCCAAACCAGAACCCTGGGAAGCAAGCAACGCAGTCAAAGCCTGTCCAAGCACTGGGTTTAAAGCTGGAGCAGTAAGAGCCACCCCAGGGTTCAACCCAGCAGCAGCAACTCCAGGGTTGAATCCCACTCCCACTGCAGCAGGCCCAGATGGAGCCATCAAATGACCGGTCTCAGATCCACTAGAAGAGTACTTCCCCTTTTTAGCATGATGGTAACGAGACTGATTCTGATGTTGCCCTTGCTTGTGCTGCTGGTACGGCTGATGTTGCCCATAAGAAGCACCTCCTGCATAACCACCTTTAGTCGGTTTTGGTCCATCAATGGCCTTCTGGCAATGCAAAACATGACCTTCAAAATTCTTGTGTGGCTCCTCTAAGGCCTTCCTTGCACTCTCAACCGACCTGTATACAAAAAGCGCAAACCCTTTCGGTTTCCCTGTATGCTTATCAAGGCCCAACGGACCTTCCTCAATTTCACCAAACTGTTTAAAAAAACACAAGCAACTTCTCGGGGTTTATTTCAGCAGAAACGTTACTAACAAAATCTTCCTCTGAGTATACTCAGATAAAGGCGGCGCAGTTGGAGGCGGTGCTGGAACCGGCCCTTGCGAAGCCAACTGACAAGAAGTAGTTCTATTCCCAATCTTCTTCTGGGGCTGTTTCAAAGCCCGGCGAGCTCCACTACGATGTTTAAATAGAATAAAAGCATAACCCTTGGATTTCCCGGAAACCCTATCCGTAACCGCTTTGCATTCTTCGATTTCCCATATTTAGAAAATTCGGCGGTGAGGGTTTCAGCGGTGCTATCCCAACTGAGACCGTGAACGAAGATCTTCCGTTGAGAGGGGTCCACATCGGCAAGCTCACGAACCGACGAGATGAACTCTGGGTGCTTCTCGACTGCTTTCTTAATAAGGGTAATCAATTGATCTTTCCCAAACGGTTGTAGAAGTGTCTCGAAAGGCTCGTCGTCCAATTCATCTTCTTGACTCGTTCCTTTCGGAGCTCCATTTCCATCTAGGGTTTGGTTTTCCGCTTCTTCTTCATCGTCGTCCTCTTCGTCCTCTTCTTCCTCCTCGTCCTCGTCCTCATCCAGCTCCACTTCCTCTTCCTCTTCAACTCCTCTTCTACTTCTTCTTCAACTTCCTCCTCAACTTCCTGAAGTTGTTCCTCTTCTACTTTAGGTTTCGGATTTCGGGTATGTATTCTGATGTTGTTGTTGCTCTTCTTCTTCGATTGGTTGAGGATCCGCTGCCGTTTTAGTGGGTTCGACCGCAGAAGATCGTTGCTTTCGCTTCTTAGCCATGGAGAAAACGTAGATTCGAAAGATTGATTTGTCGGGGCGGGGGAGGGGGAGAATATGGTTTCTGGTAAAACATAGATATAACTTATCTGATCTGTCTCCTTATTGAGATTGGTTTAAGGGTCGGATCTAAGCCCATGATTTCTACCCGGACCCAATGATAGATGGACCGGGCTTGTTTTCGTATTACCCTTTAATATGATCTGTTTTCATATATGCAATCATGATTTTTTTATCATTTTTTTTCAAATGTTTTATTATTATTGATTTAGTCTGTGATTCATCGGGTAAAAAATTGAAAAAGCGAGTTGGTTTTTCATTCCCTTTTAAATAAAATTGATTTCATATCTAATACTAGTTTATATATTTATAAAATATTTATATTAATTTAGTATTAATTATTCTGATCACATCACATAGTCTTTAAATATGGGATAAATTACATGTTAGTATTCTAATTATCATTTTTATTTCGTTTTGATCATCCAACTATTTTTTATTTTAAAATTATACATAACATTACATTTTAATTTTATTTTGGTTATCCATCGTTATACAATTAGTGATGATATTGATGGTTGAGGTTTTGAGTTTGATTACCATAAATGTCAAGAGTGTTAAATGATTAAAAGTTATCTTTAAATATATAATTTCTTATACTTACTCCATATTATTTTTTTTTTAAAAACTTTTCCTTGTACCAAAGGATTAAATTCCTTCTAAAAGTCTTTTTATAATTTTTTTCATCTCCATAATTTTTTATCATTTAATTTAAGGTTTAAGGTTAAAAAATGTCCAAATTATACCAAAATTAATTTTAGGTGCTTATAATTTTTAAATTAAAGTATGTGTTTAACGTTTTTTCCGTTATATTTTAGGTGCCTACGTTGTAACGACTGTTAAATTATGTTGTTAACTGACACGTGTCGTCTCATATTTTTTTTGAAATTTTATTTTAAAAAATAAAATTATTATTATTATTTAAAAATCAAAATGTTTCAAAAATATCAAAAGACTTCTAAAATTCCTAAACCTAAATTATACAACTCTTTCGTTGGTCGTTGTTGCTGTCGCCGACCATATATCCACCAATCGTTGGACACCATTACTGACCAATCCCTTGTCGTCACCCCTAAACTGGTTGCTAATCAAAAGTCACCACAAATCGACCATAAATCGATCTCATTTCTCTTCTACTTATTTTGATATTGGAAGGAAGATGGATCCATCATTGGTGGGTAGGGTTTATCAAAATTTGAAATAGGGATTTTAGGGTTTATGATTTTGGGGTGTTTTGCATAAAATAAGAAAAGATGTGAGTTTTTTTTATAAAAAATTAATTTTTAAAAAAACTAAAAAAAATATGAGGGGCGACATGTATTAGTTAATGGTAAAATTTAGCGATTATTATGACATAGAAATTTAAAAATGCAACGGACAAAGCGTTAGACACCTATTTTAAGCAATTATTCTTTAAAAATGTATTGTTAATAAAGAGTATAGTTTAAACAATTAATTTTTCATCATGTATTAATTTAACGATAATTTGTCTATATCAACTAGGATAAACCATCATTAATCATCATTTGTCATTCAGATGATCAATATTAACTTATTTTAAATTGTTATGTATTACAAAAATTTATGAACATGAGTATTACTATAAATTTAAAATTATTAATATTATAAACTCATTGACCAAATTTATAATTGATTATTATAATATCAATGTTGAAATTAATAATGTTCACGTAACCATCCAAGCTAACATAATGAACCTCCGGTTTAGGAATGTTTATGAATGTTGTTCATTTTCATTATATTGCATTAAAAGGGAGAACAAACTTCTAAACATTCATCAATATCGCTAAAAAAAGAAAGAGAAATGACCCATTTTCATTATATTCATCTTTCTTCCTCTTCTTTCGTCGAGCAACGCAACTTGAGCGACAATCATCTGGATGTGAGTCTAGTAGACTATAGCTCATGGTGCAGAAACCAATCATCCCATCAATCCATGTATTCACATTTATCTTCTAAGAGGTTTAATCGATTGATTTCAAATTAATCTGAAAATGATTTGAATTGATTTGATTCGAACTCGATTTGATCTAAATCAAATCATTAAATTAACATGATATAACATTTATCAAATTCGATATGACATAACATGATGTGATTGAAACCTAATTCACATCCTTATATATTAACAAGCACACAGCTAAAACAAATTAGTCATGACCATTAGATTATAATAAAATTACTTTCTATATTAGTTATGATCATTAGATTAAAAAATTATTTATAACAATTAAATTAATTTTACTAAATTATTTATTTATTATTAATTTTATTATATTAGAAATTAGATTATATAAAATAATTTTAAATATCAATAAGTTTAAATCATTATTATGATATAATAATTGATTAATCATTTAATTTTAAAATTTTAATATATGTATACTGACCTAACTTGATATTTACTTGACTTGTAGGTTATAAACTTTAATTGGCAACTAATATTATAATATGATAATTAAAAAAAAAATTCTTCATCATTTAAAGCACATGATTAATTATGATCATTAGATTAATAAATTTATTTTTTATAATGTAATATATAAATACATTCAAAATTCTAATTAAATTAATAATTGATAAATATATTAAAAATAATTATTCACCATTTAAGGCAAATAACTAATTATGACCATTAGAATAATAAATTTATGTTCTTTTTATCTGTTAGTCTCCTTTACCAGTCAGATAGTTATTTTTATTTCTTAAAAATTATTGGGGGCCAGGGCATATGTTATATACATGTATTCATCATTTTATGCCTTGGCCTGTTATTTGGATTGCAAAAGTTAGGAGAAGGAGAAGTATGCTGATGGTTTACCTTTTCAGTAGAGTTTTTTCCATCTGAGTAGTGGCCTTTCAAGTTTCAACTGATAGGTTGGTTATTTTTGGTGCATTTTCAGGATCCTGTAGCTCCCTTACCAAGAACTGATGGTCATTCCTTTTTCAACCAAGCTTGGCGGCATGATTCTCCTGTGGTTTTCGATAGTCCGTCCGAGAAAGGAATCCCTGTCATTATTACATGGAATTATGGTGGTAATAATGTGGCCGTGGAAGGTTCTTGGGACAATTGGAGATTAAGGTAGCTCTGTAGTTACAGATGCACATTTCATGCATAAGAAATCTGCTGTTCCTCTCTTATCCAAAACCTAACATAATAGAGTCTACTGTTATTCTTTTGCAGGAAGACACTGCAGAGATCAGGTAAGGACCACTCAATTCTTTTGGTCCTTCCATCCGGCGTATACCATTACAAGTTCATTGTCGATGGTGAATGGAGATATACACCCGATCTGCCTTTTGTATCTGATGAAATGGGCCACGTCTGTAATCTTCTTGATGTTCATGTATGTATCTTCTTATATGTCCTCTTGCTCACTTTTGAATCATGTACGTTTATTTTTACTTGGGTTGCATAGCATGAATGATTGGCATTCAAAACTGTGCAGTTACAAATTTAACATGTGTTGTTGCTTAAAAGCTAAAAAGAGAGGTTTAAGGTATATATTGTTTTGAGCACACAGGACGAATAACAAAGACGTGTGCTACATAGGTTCTCTCTTGTCTAAAACATATCAATAATGATTTTATTACTTCACTCTCTTTTCTTATCCATAACGGAGATCTCGGTAATTCTTGTCTAGTTTTTTTGCTTTTGTATTTTTAATGACTTCCGCTATTCCATGCAGGACTCTGTACCTGAAAATCTAGATAGTGTAGCTGAGTTCGAGGCTCCGGCATCTCCAAATTCCAGTTATGGTCAGGCATTTCCAACCGAAGAAGATTTTGTGAAGGAGCCTGCTGTAGTCACATCCCAGCTACATTTAACCGTCCTCGAGACAGACAACCATGATGGAGCATCATCCTCGAAGCCTCAACATGTTGTACTTAACTACCTTTTCATAGAGAAAGTATGGGCATCTCAGTCTGCTGTTGCCCTCGGATTGACCCATAGGTTCGAGTCCAAGTACGTGACTGTTGTATTCCATAAGCCACTCAAAAGGTAATACCTGCTTCCCCATGCTTGACTCTGTAAAGAAACCAAAGTAACTTTCACATTTGTTGAAGGTACCTTGTTTTATAGACCGTGCTTCAACACTTTTAACGTGAGCAACATGAACTCTTTGTAAATTTGTGCTCTTAACGGTCGTTTACTGTTGAAAATTCAATGTACCTTTCGGTGCAAGTTGAAAGTTGGAGAAAAAAATAAATTAATTAAATCCACCGAAATATGCAAAGTCAAAAAAAGGGTTATAATTGTTGAAAATGAGAAAGGGAAAATTACAAAGTTTAGTCACTAAAGTTTAGGATATTTACAAATTAGGCCTTCAGCTTCACCTATAAATACCCTAGCTCATTTAGCTTCAAAATCATCCTAAAAGCATTCTAGCTTTCTTCCAATACTAGAGAGAATTTAGAGAGTTTCTTGAGAGTTATTTTCTCCTTTTTATCAAGAGAGAATTATCATTGTTTTCTCCTTGGTAGATCGAGAGAAGTTGTAATTCATATTTTCTCATAGTGAAATTCTTCTACCGTTGTTCGTGGTTTTTACCCTATATTATTTAGGGGTTTTCCACGTAAATTTTGTGTCTCTTTTATCTTCATTTTTATTTTTTCAAATTATCAGTTGCGATTTTCTTTATCCGATAGCCGTCTTCCGCAACAATTGGTATCCGGGCCAGATTAGAGTGTGTAATATCTGCTTATTATCTTTGTGGTTGTCACCAAAAGGTGGATCCTTCAACATAAGAAAGTAAGAAGTTATTATCCATTCTTTGAAGGTTCCAGAGAACTATTCACGATAGTGAAATAGTGGGAGCTATACGTAAAAGAAGTTATGGCAACGAAATTTGATATTGAAAAATTCAATGGGAGAAATTTCTCATTGTGGAAATTGAAGATGAAGGTCATCCTGAGGAAAGACGGTTGTTTAGCAGCTATCAGTGAAAGGCCGATGGATTTCACAGATGATAACAAATGGATTGAAATGGACGAGAATGCTATGGCAAACTTTCATCTAACATTAGCAGATGAAGTATTGTCAAGCATCGAGGAGAAGAAGACAACTAAGGAGATATGGGATAATCTCACCAAATTGTATGAGGCCACATCGCTGCACAATAAAATTTTCCTTAAGAGGAAATTGTACACTCTCAGTATGTCAGAATCTACTTCAGTGACGGAGCACTTAAACACACTGAACACGTTATTTTCTCAGCTTACATCCTTAAGATGTATAATATGAGAATAAGAACGTGTTGAACTTCTACTTCAAAGTCTACCTGATTCGTATGATCAACTCATCATAAACTTGACAAACAGTAATGTCACCAGTCTAGTCTTCGATGACGTTGCAACTGCTGTTCTCCAAGAAGAAAATCGGCGTAAGAACAAGGAAGACAGACAAGTAAATCTGCAACAAGCAGAAGCGTTGACAATGATGAAAGGGAGATCAACAGAACGTGGCCAAAGCAGCAGTCACAAATATGGTAGATCGAAGTCGAGGAGCAAGAAGAATTTAAAGTGCTATAACTGTAGAAAGAAGGGTCACTTGAAGAAGGATTGTTGGAGTCTAAATAAAAACTCCAACCCACAAGGCAATATCGCAAATACTTCAGATGATGAAGATGCTCTATGTTGTGAAACGTCAACCACCGTGGAAGGCAGAAAAAGATTTGCAGATATATGACTCATTGATTCAGGAGCAACATATCACATGACCTCAAAAAGAGAATGGTTTCATCATTATGAACCTGTCTCAGGAGGATCTGTGTATAGTTATAATGATCATTCCTTAGAGATCGTTGGCATGGGAACCATCAAATTGAAGATGTATGATGAAACCATTAAAGTTATTCGAGATGTGCAACACGTGAAAGGCCTGAAGAAAAATTTATTATCCTACAGATTGTTGGATAATAATGCAAGCAATATTCAAACACGGAAAGGAATCATGAAGGTGTTCCGTGGAGCGCTTGTGGTGCTGAAAAGCGAAAAGATAGCAGCAAATTTGTACATGCTGAAGGGAGAGACTTTGCTAGAAGCAGAAGCCTCTGTTGCCTCATGTAGTTCAGATTCTGCAATGCTATGACATCAGAAACTTGGCCACATGTCAGAACAAGGAATGAAAGTCCTTGTGGAGCAAAAGCTACTTTCAGGCTTAACAAAGGTATCACTTCCTTTGTGTGAGCATTGCATAACAAGTAAGCAACACCGGTTGAAATTCAACACATCAAATTCTAGAGGCAAAAGTGTTCTAGAATTGGTTCACTTTGACGTATGGAAAGCACCAGTTACATCTCTAGGCGGAGCACAATACTTTGTCTCATTTATTGATGATTACTCCAAGAGATGTTGGGTGTACCCTATTAAAAAGAAGTCAGATGTGTTTTCAACTTTCAAAAACTTCAAAGCGCGGGTTGAACTTGATTCTGAAAATAAGATCAAGTGTTTCAGAACAGATAATGGAGGAGAATACACAAGCGAAAAATTTGATGACTTTTGCAGGAAAGAATGCATCAAAAGATAGTTCACAGTTGCGAACACTCCTCAACAAAATGGAGTGGCAGAGCGGATGAACAGAACTTTGTTAGAAAGAACAAGAGCAATGTTGAGGGATGCAGGCCTAGAAAAATCTTTCTGGGCAGAAGAAGTCAATACCGCCTGTTATTTGGTGAATCGAGCTCCATCAACTGCAATAGAGCTGAAGACACCAATGGAGATGTGGACTGGTAAACCAGCTGATTATTCAAACCTCTATGTATTTGGAAGTATTGTGTATGTGATGTACAACTCCCAAGAAATCTCAAAGTTGGATCCAAAATCCAGGAAATGCAAATTCTTGGGGTATGCTGATGGAGTAAAGGGGTATCGTTTGTGGGATCCCACTGCCCGCAAAGTGATCATCAACAGAGATGTTATCTTTGTAGAAGATAAACTACAAAGAAAAGAAGAAGATGATGTGCTGAAAAGTCAGAGACTACTCAGATACATGTGGAAAAAGAGTTTGAAAAAGAAGATTCTTCTGAAGCAGAACCAACACATGATGAACAAGAACCAGAGAGTTATGAAGCTCCAACAACTCGTCAATCAGATCGTGTGAGAAGACGTCCCAATTGGCACTCAGATTATGTTATAGAAGGTAATATTGCATACTGCTTTTTAATAGAGGACGGTGAGCCATAAACATACCAGGAGACAATAAACAGCTCAGATGCTTCACTGTGGATGATGGCGATGCAAGAAGAAATTGAAGTCCTTCATAAAAATAATACATGGGACCTTGTGCCACTACCACAAGGAAGGAAGCCAATTGGTAACAAATGAGTCTTCAAAATCAAGCGAAATGGTGACGATCAAGTTGAGAGGTATCGTGCAAGACTGGTGGTCAAAGGATATGCTCAGAAAGAAGGTATTGATTTCAATGAAATTTTTTCTCCTGTGGTTCGACTAACAACAGTTCGAGTAGTTTTGACAATGTGTGCTACATTGAACTTACATCTAGAGCAGCTAGATGTTAAAACAGCTTTTCTTCATAGAAATCTTGAAGAAGAAATTTATATGCTCCAACCTGAAGTTTTTGAAGAAAAAGAAAAGAAGAACTTGGTTTGCAGGTTGAACAAATCTCTGTACGATCTAAAGCAGGCGCTGAGGTGTTGGTATAAGAGATTTGATTCCTTCATTATGTGCCTTGGATACAACATACTTTATGCAGACCCTTGTGCTTATTTCAAGAGGTCTGGTGATAACAATTTTGTTATATTGTTGTTGTATGTGGATGACATGTTGGTTGCAAGACCCAACAAAGATCATATTGACGAATTGAAGGCACAACTGGCTAGGGAATTTGAAATGAAGGACTTGGGATCAGCAAACAAGATTCTAGGGATGCAAATTCACCGAGACAGAAGTAATAGGAAGATTTGGCTTTCACAAAAGAATTACTTGAAGAAGATCTTGTCACGATTCAACATGCAAGATTGTAAGCCAATTTCTACCCCTCTTCATATTAACTTCAAATTATCCTCCAGTATGAGTCCTAGCAGTGAAAAAGAGAGGATGGAGATGTCTCGAGTACCGTATGCATCAGCAGTGGGAAGTTTAATGTTCGCTATGATATGCACAAGACCAGACATTGCACAAGCAGTGGGAGTGGCTAGTCGGTACATGGCGAATCTAGGAAAAGAGTATTGAAATACAGTAAAGAGGATCCTGAGATACATCAAAGGGACCTCGAATGTTGCATTATATTATAGAGGATCAAACTTACTAATCAATGGGTATGTAGATTCTGACTATGCAGGCGATTTGGATAAAAGCAAATCTACTATAGGATATATGTTCAAAGTTGCTGGTGGAGCTGTAAGCTGGGTTTCAAAATTGCAGTCAGTTGTGGCTACATCCACAACAGAGGCATAATATGTAGCAGCTACACAAGCCAGTAAACAAGCAATTTGGTTGAAGATGCTATTGGAGGAGCTTGGGCACAGTCAAGAGTATGTCTCTATGTTTTGTGACAGTCAAAGCGCCTTGCATCTAGCAATGAATCTAACATTTCATTCAATAACAAAACACATACGAGTACAATACCACTTCATTCGTGAAAAGGTGGAAGAAGTGACGGTATATATGCAGAAAATCCATACCAAAGAGAACATAGCAGATTTCTTGATAAAGGCGATAAATGCTGATAAGTTTACTTGGTGTCGATCCTCTTGTGGCCTGTCAGAAACGTAAGCAACATGAAGGTACAAGATAGAAAGAATGGTGTGAAAATATGATTGTTCTAATCAAATCTTCAAGTGGGAGATTGTTGAAAATTCAATGCACCTTTCGGTGCAAGTTGAAAGTTGGAGAAAAAAATAAATAAATTAAATTCACCGAAATATGCTAAGTAAAAAAAGGGGTTGTAATTGTTGAAAATGAGAAAGGGAAAATTAAAAAGTTTAGTCACTAAAGTTTAGGGTATTTACAAATTAGTCCTTAAGCTTCACCTATAAACACCCTAGCTCATTTAGCTTCAAAATCATCCCAAAAGCATTCTAGCTTTCTTCCAATACTAGAGAGAATTTAGATAGTTTCTTGA